AGGGAATAATATTTGCTACTGGTATAGAGACAATTCTTATAATATTTTGGCAAAAATGTGGAAGCTTTTACCCTTGTCCTAAGTGTCTACCTGGGGATAAACTGAAGAGTTTTGTGCTAATATCATTGGCAGAAGAGGTTTCAAGTTCACCAAGTATTAACTGTGTCATGTACTTGTGAGTGATTAACCTTAGGCAGATCTACAATGAACAGAAAAATGTGTGGCAAAAATGCAAAGTGTACAGTATGTGATGAAAAAGAGAATCAAGAAATGTAGTATTATGCTCAAGGAAATTCAAAGTTTAAAGACAGTCCTGATTCAAATAGAATAATTGGAGCAGTACTCTCAGGATGAGACCCCACCAAGATAGTACTAAAACTAGTAAAAAGAAAATGGCTAAGAAATCTTCTCCTGAAGCAAAGGAAATCTAATTCAATAAAGAAATGTAGCAACAAATCAAATTGCATGCAAATGCAATTCAAAGAGGGGTCCATATACTATCCAAAACTAGCAGGACTTGCCAACATTGATAATGTGGTTCTGGATGTAGTGTCATGAAGGATTCAGGAGTAAAGAGTTTGTAGAATATTTTAGCTATGTCAAGGAAAGCTATCAAGTCCAGTTGTGTGGCAGGGAAGTCCTTGCATGGAGATCCAGAGAAGCAATTGTGTGAAACTAAGGAAGTAAAGTCTGGATTCCTTTGAAGACTCCAAGATATTGGAAATGCCATGGTCCTGGAATGTCTGCAATAGAGAGTTTCATACAAGGACTTAAATCTTCCCAAGGGGTGAGTGTGCTGCAGTCAATAAACATTGGAGGAGTGGCACATTCAAAGACCCACCTAAGCAATTTTATATGAAATATAGGCTAAGGATTTGGAGTTTGCCTTACTAAGCTTCTGTCTTATTTTGCCCTAATATTCCCTCCCTTTAAGAAAGGCAATGTATATTCTGAAACACTGTATGTTAGATGTCATTTGTGTCTTGGTTTTATCATGGCTTACACTTGAAAGACTGGGTTAAGTCTCAGAAGAGTCTTTGGACTTTAGTCTTTTAAAAACAATTGAGACTGGAAAGATTCTGGGGAATTGTAAAGTTAATCTGAATGCATTTTGCATCATGATATAGCCATGAGATAAGTGGGGGTCAGAGAGTGATATATGTTGCTTTGAATGAGACTGTATGCAATAATTTCATACATTTGAATGCTTGGACCTACTTGATGGTACTGTTTAAAAAGGATTATGAGTTGTGGACTTGTGGCAGGAGGTGTGTCACTGGGAGTGGGCTTTTAGATTTCAAAAATCCAAGCCAGGCCCAGAGTCTCTTTCTCTCTGTCTTCAACTTGCTTAAAATGTAAATTATTAGCTACTATTCTAGTGTCATGCCTGTTTGCCTGCTGTCATGCTCCCCATTATGATGATCATGGATTCATCTTCTGAAACAATAAGCAAGACCCTAATTAATCGCTTTATTTTATAAGTTGCCTTGTTAATGGTATGTCATAGCAGCAATAAAAAAGTAACAAAAACAAGTGCTAATTCCAAATTGTAAAGATTATTTTTCCAATTCTCTGGTGAGCAGCTGACTTTAGTTGCCACTCTATTAGAAAACTACATGTTAAGTGGTGTTTAGGAAGGAAGTATTAGATAATTAACCATTTGGTCCCACAAAACACCAAGTTAATAGTCACAACACACAATGATAACATGGAGCAGACCTGTGTAGACTTCATGCTGGACACTTCAGTCTCTATGAGCCCATACGAGCTCCTCCATCTCCTATGACCCCCATAATCTTTTCTTTCGCCCACCTCTTTTGCATGGTTCCACAATATCCATGGGAAGTGATCTAAAGGAGGCCTCTACTTTGTACCCTCTGTCCACACAGTGTTTGGCTGTGGGTCTCTGCACCCATTGCTGTCTGTAGCTAGAAGCCTCACTAACAAAGAGTGAACAGCAACAATCTATGAGTAAAGCATATTACCATTAAAAATATCATTAAATTATGTTATACTGTAGTCATAGATTGCTACCTAGCCCAATTGTCACCAGAGAGGCTTCCTTTGGCAGCAGATGGTAGTAACATGCAGAGACTCACAGCCAGACATTAAAAAGCACTGGGAACCCTTCAGATGAGAGGGAGGAAGGATTGCAGTAGTCAGAGGGTATAATGTGTAGTCTTCCTGCCAGCCACCTGTGTCCCGAGCTGTCTTAGCCCACAAATAACACACAAAACACTATATTAATTATGTAGCTTTTGGCCATTTGCTTGGTTTCTTATTGGCTAGCTCTGACTTAATTATTAACCAATAACTGCTAATCTGGGTATTTCCTCGTGGTCTTCTCTTACCAGAGTAAAGGGTCCAGACCTCTTACTTCTCCCGTGAACTACATCGTGACTGACTGTGCCTCTGTTTTAAAGAATCTTCCTTGACTCCGAGTCCCACCTATCTTGCTTCCCTATTGGCCAACAGTGCTTTATGTAATCAACCAATAAGACAACATATACACAGAAGGACTTCCCTCATCAAGAGAGGATGGAGTACACAAGGAAAAAGTGACCCTCTGAACCAACTAAACAGACTAAGCAGGCCTCATAGGGGCTCACAGAGACTGAACAACAACCACAGGGCTTATATGGGTCTGAGCTAGGTCCTCTGCATATATACTATGATTGTATAGCTAGGTGTTCTTGTGGGACTACTATCAGTAGGAGTGGGTGTGTCTCTGACTCTTTTGGCTGCTCTTGGTACTTTTTTCCTCCTATTGGTTTGTCTGCTCAGTCTTGATATGAGGGTTTGTGCCATGTGTTATTGTAATTTGTTATGTGCGGTTGGTTGGCACCACTTAGAAGACTGCTCTTTTCTGAAGGAAAATGGAGGAGGAGTGGATCCAGGGGAGACAAAGGGTGTTAGTCAGGAACTGGGAGGAGTAGAGGGAGGTAAACTGTGATCAGGATGTAACATAGGAGACAGGAATTTTAAAGAATCATTTCATTGACTATTTTTGCTAGTTGTATTTGGTTCTGTCCTAGGTCTCTGGTTCTTGGCCATTCAAACAGTGTAGGACATGGAATCCCTGTTTTAGCATGGGCCTCAAGTTAAGCCAGACATTAGTTGCCACTCCCACAAATTCTGTTCCACCATTGCTCCAGGACATCTTGTAGGTAGGACAGATTGTAGGTAGAGTGTTTTCTGGCTGGATTGGAATCCAGGTTTTTCTTGTCGTAGCCTGCAGTGTACCTTCCCACACAAAAGAGACTATAATGTAGGGTTGAAAGTTTCATGCAGGCATAAGCTCCACCTCTCTATTAGTGATGTAATATTTATGATTTATTAAAGCTTGACTGATGATTCAGAAAAGCAAAGTTAGCCACAAGCCTTAGAAGTCAGGTACACATAGGATTAAGAGATAGACAAATCTCTGTGAGTCCAAGGTCATCCCAATCTACACAAGATTGATATAATCTAAAATAGAATTATAGTTCACACCTTTAACACCAATATTTGGGGAGCATATAAGACAGAAGCGAGGTCTCAGATATGCATTTCATTTTCCATCCACACTAAGAAAACCTTACAGACTGAGTCTTGGTGAGATCTCCTGCAGACAGGACCAGCCCATTCAGCCTGAGGTAGAGGTAAGAAGCCAGTGGCCAGCTGCTTTGTTTTTCTGATATTCAGCTTAAAGTTTCAATCCCAATATTTTTCTCTGGGTCATTTATAAATTCATGTTACATCTCTATACTATTTTTTCAAAACATATAAAAACAAACCAGTGGTAATGAACTCCATGTGTTTTATTTCTCAAAGAAACACAACAATTCTTGTAAATGACTGTGTTAAATTCCCAAGAATATGACTAAAATGACATTACAAATTATAATTACCATATGCTACAAAGGAAGGAAATAATTTACAAAACATTTAAAAATCTTCAGGGAAAGTGGGAGTAGCTTCAGACAGCACAGGGATAGAGAAAAATATGCAGGGGCCTCTTCTATTTTTAACCATTACAGTAGTAACTTCTTTTAAATTTTGCAAGATAAAAATATCACATGATTGACCTAAACACTGATGATAACTTCATATATCTATTTATGTTTTCAAATAGTTTAAAGGTTTACCAAACAATGAATATCCTAATAAATAAATCAGACATACACTCATTATTTCTCTTCTACCAATTTTTCAGTATAGTAGAAAATGACATCAAGCATGTCAATGAGGTAAATTAGTATTATAATAATAATTAGATTAAACACTACATGCAAGAAACATTGTCTATCAAAGGATGCAGATAGCTACAGTAAGGGGAATTTAAGCTAGACATAAATGACAAGGAGATAGTGAGATAAACAGTAGAAATTGAGGTGGGATAAAGGGACTTGAGTAATATTATTAATAATGTAAATACTCTAATTTATTTGATTCTTAAGTATGTCAATATCCCAATCCACTTATGTCTGTGCCAGACCACAAGCTCCGGTATTCTTGTGTCTTTTCAACTATTTACATAATATGTTCTGGCTTAATGATTTCTGTTTTGTATCAGATACGGTATCCTAGATGATATTCACAAACCCCTTTTACTTTGTGAAGAAAATTGCTCTTAATTTATTCCAGGTATATCAGTAAGTTGAAAGCCCATAGGGAATTTTTGCCTTAAAAAATTTGCGGTATCATTTTCTATTAGTTTCATGAACAATTTAAAAAATTTTTACTTCTCTGTCTTTCTATAACTCTTAGTTTTAGTTTTGTACTGAAGGGAGCTTAACTATCCTGCTGGAAGTTTCTACCATTTGAAAACCAGTTTTCCCAGGCCTTGGGATAAAAAATGTGCATTTTGCATTGAACCTCCCAATTAAGACAAGCATGCATGTGTATCCATAGAGAAACAGAGAGAGAGAGAGAGAGAGAGAGAGAGAGAGAGAGAGAGAGAGAGAGAGAGAGAGAGAGGGAGGGAGGGAGGGAGGGAGGCAGGGAGGGAGGGAGGGAGGGAGAGAGAGAGAGATCATCTGCTTGCACCTTGATCTTGGACATACCAGCCTCTAGAATTGTGATTTTTGATGCTTATTAATCATACTGGGTGGGATATTTTGGTATAGCAATGTTAAATTGCTAGGAGTTTTTCCTGATATATCAATATATATAAAGTCCCACTAATTCCCATGTTTGCAGTAATCCCTATCCAGCTATAATTAAACTCATCACACTATGTTGTAAATGTTACTTCAATGTGAATCCTCAATATAAGACTTTAAATGAATGAAGTCATGAAGGAATGCAAAAAATTAACTCCTAATTCTGAAGACTTTAGTGTTTTAAAGTGTTTTCTAAGGTTTCTCCTCTGGTTTAATATCATATTTTATTTTCTTTGTTCAATTTTTAAATCCTCTGGCTTGCCTGCTGATTTGTTTTTGAAAAAGTTCATAACACACTGCAGGATGACTGGAGACCTGTTCACAGTGTTATCGATTTGTTGAATCTTTCTACACTGCCAGAAGTGCTGGCAGCACAGTGTTAAAAATGATAATGTAATGATACATCCAGTGTATCTGGCTACTAGGGAAGGACAAAGGGTTTAAACTCTAACACATCCATCTAAATGAAATATGTCCAATATACATACATACAGCTGAAGCTAATAATAGACAACAAGAAATTAAGATTATTAGGTCAACATACTTTTCATTTAATAAATTTGTCATCTGTCTATGAAGAAAGAATGTGTGCTCTTATTTTATGGAAAAAATAATTATGCCTCTGTCTTTGGATCTATCAACAAAGGAACTTGTTACTTTAAGTAAAATGTAGGGAAAATATACTCAAAAACCAATGTTACAACCTTTGAATATTCCTTAAATTGTTTGAATATATAAAAATTTGGTAAGCAACTATTCTAAGGATCATGTCAAACTTAACAATACACTGAAATAAAGCCATTAAAACACCAACAAGTAACGTCATTAACTCCTTTTAAATATTTCATTTTCCATAACAATGTACACTTGATGGAATTTGAAGGCAAATGGATACAATTAGGAAAAAAAATCATGCTGAGTGAGGTAACCCAAACCCAGGAAGACAAACATGGCATTTATTCACAAATAAGCAGATATTATTTGTAAAATAAATAATACTACGCTACAGTGCATAGACCTAGAGAGACAAGATAACAAGGAGGACCTATGTGGGATATTTAAATCTCCCTGGGAAGGGAAAATAGAAGAGAGATTGTGAGTGGACTGCTGTTGGGATGGCAATATGAACATGAATGATAAAGTTGGTGAGGGTCAGGGAGAGAGTACTGAAAGAGACTACTGGAAACTGGACATTTTGGGGGTCAGGTAAAAGCCTGGCACATGGAATTCTCCCAGGAATCTACAAGAATGACCTGAGCTAAGACTCCTAGTAATAGTGAATACATAGCCTGAATTGACCATCTCCTGTACCCAGGCAAGACTTAAGTGGAGGGAGTGGAAAACCACCCCAACTGTACGGACTTCAATCTACAGTCTGTGCTGCCTGTGGGATGTACTGGGTTAAGGGTTGCCTAGAGTTTGAGGGAGTAGTCACCTAATGACTGATCTATCCTAAAATCCATGCCAGTAGAGTAACCTGATCCTTGACACTGCCAGGATGGAGTTCAAGGACCACAGGCTGAATGACTCAGAGACCTAGAATAGAAGCAAACATAACTGGTGGGAGACATATCAATGAGATGACGCATAATGGTTTTCTGCTATACTCAGAGATTGTTGCCAAGCCCAATTGTCACCAAAGAGGCTCCATCCAACAAGTGATGAAACCAGATGCAGAAACACAGCAAAACATTAGGCCAAGCTTGGGGAATCCTGCAGAAGAGGGGAGAGAAAAGATTATAGAAGACAGAGGGGACACAGAATCAAATAACCTGGGTTCACAGTTAGTTACAGAGACTATACCAACAACCAGGAGCCAGCATGTGACTGACCTAGACACTCTGAATATGTTACAGTTCTGTAGCTTAGTTTTCTTATGAGAATCCTAACAATGGGAGCAAGGGGTGTTGCTGACTTTTCAAGCTTTTAGACCCTACTCCCCATACTGGGTCATGTTGCCCAGCCTTAATACAAGGGTAGGTACTTAGTCTTACTGCAATTTGATATGCCACATTTTGTTGATATAAATGGTAGGCCTGCTCTTTTCTGAATAGAAATGAAGGAATTGTGTAGTGAGGGGGTAGGAACAGAGGTGGTTGCGGGAGAATTGGAGGAGAGGAGGGAGGGGAAACTGGCCAGTATGTTATATAAATAAATAAGCACATAAATAAATAAGTAATAAATAAATAAAGTACACCTCTGTAAAGGGAAGCCTTTTTCTTGAGAGAAACCTTCCCGCCAGCCTGGTTCTAGAGGCGCATCAGTCCCAAATAAACACACAGGAGGCTATATTCATTATGAAGCTGTTGGCCTTGTTTGTTTCTTGCTGGCTAGCTCTGACTTAAGTAATTACCCCATAATTGTTAATCTAAGTATGTCTCTTACCGGAGAAGTTTCCGGGCTTCATACCCCATGGCATTACATCTCGACTCCCTGTGTTTCTCCTTCCCAGAGTTCTCCTGGACTCCTAGTCCCACCTATCTAGATTCCTATTGGCTCAACAGTGCTTTATTGACATAATCACAGGACTTCCTCCACACACCTCTATATTTTCTTGTTCATGTACACCCTGACTGCTGGATGGGGTCAAAGTAGTGATGTTCTTCAACATCATTAAATTTTGAGAAACATGTACAGATTTCTCCTACTCCTCTCTGTCAGTTGATAAGATAGAATGCTAAAGGTTTCCATGATTTGTTTCCCAAGCATTTCATAATCTCTAATATAATTATTCAAGGCAGTGAAGAATCTAAATTATGTGATTAAAAAACAGAGAAATTTAGGAATAATCTCAGCCCAAAAATCTTTTATAATTTGCTGCATTTAAAGAAGTTATAGAGAAAATTTACCCATGCTCAACTGTTTTATAAATATGTACTTTGGCAAAAATATAAATTTAATGGCAGTCACACACCTACAAATGGAAGTTCACAAAACAATCTCAACTTATTAGTTTAAAATGGTTTTAACATCCAACAAATACCGAATTTCTTAAAAAAGATTACAACAATGTAATATGTGATATATTTACAAGTCTTCTGTGGAGTTAATGAAAGCTTATATGTCTGTGAGAATATATATATGTGTATATTTATACTTAAATATATATAGGAAATTGTAGTACTATAGCATGTTTATTTAATTAGGAAATTTACTTTAAATAGGTAGATATGATATAGTTTAAAATATACCTCAGAATTTATTTATTTATGTTATTGTTGATAAACATAAATACTATTATGGATGGTTTGAGTTTTATAGAACAGAACATTTTTTAAATGGAGTCATAATTATACTTTTAGTATCATATCATCACTTCAACACCCCCAAAAATTCTGAGAGAAATTTGGATATCAGTATTTTCCTGTTACAAAACAATAATTCTAATAGTAAAACATAACCAAATGACTTTCAACTTCAGCATAGGGGACTAGCACGCCTTAGGGTAGCTCTGACTATATGAAATCACTGTGTCTTGTAAGCCTCCTGTACATTAATAGCAGTCTGTCACATTCTGGAAAAGATTGCTATTTAATTCTTAAAACTTATTTACATGTATTTGTGGTATATATGTAATTTAACATCTATTTGATTAGCATGTTTATACTTGCCTAAGAAGGAAATGTGTTACTACTACTAAAAGTCACCTTAATAAGTACACACATCATAAAACTTTCTGTTGCTTTATAGTATATATGCCTTCATTTTGCATATTAAACATTTTTCTTATCAAATCAGAATACTATATTGGGACAAAATTCACAATCTTTAGAGTAGACAACATCTAGGTTCCATTTTCTGCTCTGCCATAATAACTTTTGCTTAATAACAATTGTAAAATGGGATCAAAGAGTTCAGTGATGAAACAAAAGTGTCTGTCATGTTCAAGGCTCTACATCTGATGGCCAGTACTGCAAGAAATAAAATATAGACAGTTATGACTCTAGAGAAAATGTTTGTAAAATAAAATAACACACAGATTTATTTACATTGATTATACTGAGATATAATTTACATACAAACTACTCATATTTACTGTATGCAACAAGACTTGAGATAATTGTGTCCCTTAAACTGGCTTGTCTTTACTTTGATATTCCATCATTACACCTCACAGAATGGATAAGATCAATAACACACGTGAAAGTTCATTCTGTCAAGGATGTGAAGCAAGGGAAACACTCTTCTTTTACTGTTAGGGTATACAATTGTAAAGCCACTATAAAATCAATTCCTCAGAAAACTGGGAGTTAATTTACCTCAAGACCCTGCGATGCCATTCTTAGGCACATATACAAAGGACCCTGTACCATACCACAACAAGGATCTTGTTCAACCATGTTCATTGCAGGTTTATTCACAATAGCCAGAGTCTGGAAACAACCTTAGATGCCCCTCAACTGAAGAATGGATAAAAATATTATATACTTACACAATGGCACATTACTCAGCCGTTTAAAATATGTTACATCGTGAAATGTACAGGGAAATAGATACAGCTAGAAAAAAATCATCCTGAGTGAGGTAATCCAGAACCAGAAAGACAAATATGACATGCATTCATTTATAGGTGGATATTACCTGTTAAGTAAATGATAACCAAGATGAAATACATGGACACAGAGAAGTTGTCTAGAGGGGAATGAAGAGACCTCCTTGGGAGGTAGAAATAGAATAGATTTTATGGCCAGACAGAGGGCAGGTGTGGATGGGAGCAGAGGAATCAGATTGAGGGGAATGAGTTAGAGGGAGAGAGTATGGAGAAATGTAGTTATAATTGGTGACCCTTTGAGGGACTGTGTAGAAAACAGGTGCAGTGGAAATTCCCTTAAATTTATTAAGGTAATCCTAGTGAGGACTCGTAATAATGGGAGATACAGAGTCTGAACTGGTCATCTTTTGTAGGTGAGGCTTCCAGTGGCAGGACTGGGTTACTTTAAATTGAGATGTTAGAAAAGGAAGGTCCCATAAAAGTCCCCAAACAAACCAGACTGTTGCAAAGACAAAAATTTGCTCTCCACAGACAGCAGACACCTATTGTCAAGACCAACACCCACACAAGTCTTTGAACATGGCAAATACAAATGCTGGCAATATGGAGTCTTTACCACTTTATTCTAGAACCTTGGTGTGGGAAGATACTTTTTAGGCCACCAAAAGAGAAATATGGACACCAATCCAGCCATAAAACATGTGACCTACAAACTTTCCTGGCTATATAATATGCTAGGGCAATGGTGGCACAGAATTTGTGGGAATAGCTAACCTATGTCTTATTTGGCTTAAGACACAATCTGTAAATAGAAACCACTGCTTGGTTAACCAAGAAACAGGCTAGATATTCCAGAGACATTGGGTGAAACCAAATACTATTGATCTTAAAGATAAAAATAATAAATAATATAATTCCAAAGGGTATTCTCCTATACTCACAGATCAGTGCCTAACCCAATCATCATTAAAGAGGCTTCCTCTGGAAGCAGATGAGAATAGATACAGAGACCCACAGCTAGACATTATGTGAAGAAAGGATCTAAATTTGAAGTCTCCATCAAATTCCTCCCCTCAATACTCAGAGAATCTAGTGGAAAAGGAAGCTAAAAGATTGTAAGAGACAGAAGGGAGACAGGTCACCAGGAGAACAAGGCCTTCTGAATCAACTAATCAGTGATTACCAACTCACAGAGACTGAGGGAGTTATCACAGGGACTACATGGGTCTACACCAGGTCCTCTGTGCATGCATTACAGTTATTATCTTAGTATTTTCATGCCACTTTTGACTATGAGAACAAGTGTGTCTCTGACTTTTGTGCTTACACTTAGAACTCTTTACCTCCCATTAGTTTGCTGCGTCCAAATTCAGCATGATAGATTTTGTTTGATCTTGCTATATTTTATTTTGTCATGTTTGGTTGATATGTCTTAAAACCCTGTTGTTTTTTATGATAGGCAGGACAATATTAAATCTGGGGGAGGAAGGAAGTGGCAAAGAACTGGGAGAAAGAGGGGGAAAGGAAACTATAATCAGCATATATTGTATGAAAAAATAATTTATTTTCAATAAGAGACAGATGTAAAAATATCTGTAATTAAAACAAACAAATCTTGACATTTAGCCAACTCAACGTAAGATATGTCAAGGATTGGCTCAAATATTCCTTTCTTCTTATACTGAATTGCTTCCATAACACTAAAACATGTTAGTAGGTTATCTAGGCATCATTGAAGGGAAGAAGACTTCATGTCTCCCAGTGTTTTCTACTAATGAAAACATGGTCTCAGGAGCCTTCTGAGCAGGCAGACAAGTCTCCTTTCATCATAAGCTAGAACAGGATTAAAAGCACATTCCAGATATTTACTGAAAGTGAACTACAATTAACCCGAGAGCCTTAGAAAGGCTCTATTCCTAATGGGTTTGACAATTTTCTATCATGTATATGAGTTATGAGATAGATATCAACAAGGAGGATGTTTTATAAAGGAAAGAATGAAAATAATTGAAGATGGTATCATCATTACTTTTCTTGTTTGTGTGATAAAATACCCAAATAAAACTTAAAAGTATAGAGGGCATATTATACCTTACAATTAAAACTTAAAGTTTATCTGTCATATAAAACATGGACCCCAAAAAGATAGCTGAGAGGCCAGAATGGGACTGATCCAGACCCCCTGAACGTGGATGAAAGTGAGGAGGTTTCAGCATTCTTT